CACAGTTGTGAGCTTGTGACGAGGCTCTGTCGAAAGAGTTGCAGGGGCCCTCAACCTCTGCCGCCTCGTCGTTGTCTCCCATGACGGTGCACCCCTCCCGCCTCCGGCTCCAAAGATGGTGCCTAGTTCACGACGGATTCTTGACTAATCAAGGTGCACCCCTCCGGCGCACTGCGGGTGGAGATGGAGCGCCCGTCGGGATGTTTGCGTCGACGTTGGACGAGCCATCCAGCGGGTCGAAGACGGCGACGTACCTGCACCGTCGAGGTGGTGCCGCACTCTTTCGCAAACTCTCCGCCATCGCGGGCGAGCACCAGAGTGTCGATCTGCTCCACCGCAGTGATGAGCGTCTTCTTAGGCTCGGCCCGCAGCTCCGCTGCCCGCTCCTGCAGCAGACTAGGGAGTTCATTCATGACAAGGTCGGCAACCCGCTCGCCGTTCTTGCCGTGGCCGTCAAAGACGCACAGCAGCGCCTCATTCTCCGACCCGTTGAAAGGCCAGTGCACGATGCCGCGGTCCTGGCAGGGCTTTGCAGCGTGGCCAGCTTTCGAGGGCGAGACGGGCAGTGCCGACGTGCTGGACGAGACGGGGTCATGCCTACACACGGACGAGGATCGGCTCAGCAGCTGCGCAGTGATCAGAAGGCCTGTGCATAGTCTCTGGTTGCGTTCGAAGGGGAGGGAGGCTCATGCGCAGCCACCGCGGCATTGCAGTCAGGCTGTGTCGCTCGGCCGTTTCGTCGCGGGAGCCCTGCCGCGATGGGTGATTCTTGGCGGCGAAGCAGGCGCAGCACTTGAGCATGCTACCGACCAATCGTGGAGCTTGGAGTGTGGCTGACAGCCTCGCCTGCGGGTCCTGGGCCACCGCAGCGCAAAAATGTGGACGCACGATCACCTGAACGTCCTCCCGGGTTCTGGCGGTTGATTTAGGTTCCTCTTTTCCGCGCCCCCCCCGAGGGCTGGGCACAGTCAAAACACTCGGTGCCGAAACACCTCTCCGACGCGCTCGACTATAGTCAGGGCACAGGGGCTCTCTGACGCCGTGTGAGTGAGTATTCTTGATACGAAACCACGAACGACGACACACACCAGTCGACTCGCACATCGGTTGCCTCCATGAACGGCGGAGCTATTCTCGCGCCCACACCACACCTGGCTCCAACGTGGACACGCCCATAGCTGGGGACACTACTAGGTCACGCATGGCATCAGAAGTTTTATCTCTGGGCCCCGAAAGGCATCTCTAGCAGTGTCGTTACACATGCCCCCTCCCCTCCTGGGCGCATGCGCCTCACGTCTCGCCAGAGCATAAGCCCTTGGCGTGTGGCGAGACGAGTTTTTCGCCATGCAGCGAGCAGCAAGCCGCCCGCCGCAAACAGCCGGAGGCCTCGCCGCGGCACTGGCTGCGCCGCGGTCCCGCACCCGTCGACGCAGCTCCCCCCGCGGAAGACCGCGCGTAGCGACGCCTTGACGATCGAGATGAGCGTGCCTGAAGCTCGCCCACCTACTGCCCCTGAGAGTTGGTTACGAGTGGGATCGGCTCCCCCCCTTGGGATCAAAGCTTCCACGACCTCGCACCCAGCATCACAGGCAGGATCAGAGAGAGACTCCACACCGGACACCGCCCGGGCACAGACTCCCTACCCGTCGGATTGCACAGGGCCCCCTCGGAGCAGCCCACACACAATCACGCATCGGCAGAATTAGTGCCTGAGTCAGGCAGACAGCACAGCCAAGGACAGGAGAGGAGAGAGAGAGAGAGAGAGGAGAGGGGAGAGGGTGAGGGTGTGTGTACACGTGTGGAGCAGGGAGGGTGTCTGTGGTGGGTTGTAGTCATACTACGTGATTAAAACCACGCGCCCCTCAGGAGCTTAAGGAAGAGTGTTGGGTGTCAAAACACCGGCGTCGGCGACTCACTCCCCAGAGGGTTGAGCTGCTCGACCGAGGTGAAGCCATCCGGATCTGCACAGCTCGCCCTCCGGACGCGCAGCTCCCCGCGATGGTCCCCTAGCCACCGCCGCCTCAACGTCTCCAGGAAGTAGTCAAAGGTCCACCACACAGCCTCCAGCCACCAGCATCCACCACACACACACACACACTCACCG